TTTATTTGAGGCAACTACAACATTTCTGCCAATATACTGGATGTAAAGCTCTGTGCAGAAATCCTAACTTGGTAAAAGAGATTTTTTTTTCTTTTTTAAAAATCAGAAAACCAAGAAAAACTAGGTCATCAACATACATGCACAAGATTTAGTAAAAAAAATCCCCACTGACAACTACAATAACAAAGAAATATAGCTAGTGAAATATGACTTTATATTTGATTTAAATAAATTAAAATGAACTAAAATTGGGTTGTAGGCTAGTTAGTTGTCTAATGAATTATATAATTCCTACAACTTTATAGTGAAATGGGCCAGAAAAAATGTAAAACTAATCTATAGGAACAAAATACTCAAAACTATGTTCTTCCTTTAAGAATAAGTTTCTAATTAAATACATTGATAAATTAAAGTCCTGCATGATCAAGGTTGACAAGATTCACTTTTATAGTTTCCATGAAATTACCAGAAGCTTTGTTGTATACAGACTGTCTCCTCGACCTGTATTGCACCCACAATCTTGTGTGTACATAGACAGCATACGTAAAGTCAAGGCCACCCAGAGGATTCAGGGGGCCTGAGGCAAAGCAATTTTGGGGGCCCCTTCCATTAAAAAAAGTTGCAATGCTATAGAATACTATATTCTAGTGGGGGCCCCTATGGGGCCCAGGGCAAGTTGCCCCCCTTCCCCCGGGCCACCCTGCGTAAAGTATGTAGGTATACATAAGAATTAAGAATATACATAGTATTTTAGCACAATACATATGCAGTATATATGCTATTTAGTAGAACTATGCAAAATACTGAATACACTATAAAACTGGCACAGTTCACATATCTGATAATTTTACAACAAAAAATGTTATATTTCACTATAGCAAAAACACACTTCTAGCAAAATAATTTCACAGGTAAAAATCTAGATCTCTTTGTATTCAGCACTGAAAAGGAACAGAGTGCTACCACACCTCCGACTGGGCAAGTGTAAATGAGGATATTGAAAACTCCATTGCCAGTCACAATTTATTACTGCACATCAGTGCAACTTGAGTGCAAATTTGATTAATGCCTTTACTTTTTGTTTTTTTCTATGCTGGAGATAAGCATTTCTGAGATGGTTAGTCTCTTTCCTTTGTTAATATTTTTGGCTACATTTTGTATAGCCAGGATCCTGAAATCTAGATAGCAAGAGGAAAGAAAAGGTACTTTTCACAGAGGAATTAAGCTATTTTCTAATTTGAGCCCATGTGGGATATTGCAAGACTTAGCATTATAACAAGCATTAGTAGGCAAATCTTAACAGTGATCATCTATTCTTGTGACAAACTAAACATTTCTTATAACTAGACTTCCATCTTTCGGTACAGAGAGCCCACATTTGGTTACCTAAAAAGGGGACCCTCTTAGACCTAAGCTGGAGGTGGGGTATGAGACTGACTTATTATTTCTGGTCAGTTAGATGTATGTCTGTTGAACTTTTTGGTATCTGTTTTTGGTTTGTCAACGTTTAACTTCAAGCTGAGTCAAATGAACAACTAGTACTTTGGATCTCATTACTGCATATCTGGACACTGTGTAAACCAGAAATAATGGCTCAGTTATACTACGTGGAGCCTTGTTTTTGGATTGATTTTTTTTTTTTATAGGCGCCTATATAAGAAAAAGTCCCAAAAAACAGGACTGTCCCTTTAAAAACAGGACATCTGGTCACCCTAATAAGAAGCATCTAATAGACGTATGGTAATCAACAACAAAAAACTTACCAATGACAAGCAAGAAGTTTGGTATGGTATGTCATGTTGCAGATGACTGTAACTCATCCAACCTGCAGCCCATTATACCACTCACTGCTGTAAGATTTGCCATAACCACCAAAATCTTCAAAAACAAAAACAAAAAACATTCAGATACTCAGACAATAGGAAACACAAATTTCTTATTAAATGGATTATGTTAAATCTCACAGTTGCTTAAAAACACCTATCAAAACAGTTATACTATAACCTATTTGATTATTACCATCATCTGGCAGGAAACTCTTTTACAAGTAGTGTTATGCTTAAATACTTCATTTACAGTTCTTCTTTCCAATGTTTGTTTTTAAGATGACCTTTCAGGATTCAAATCCCTTTACTGTTGTTTATTTGTTTTTAAATAATTGGTTCATAAATCAGTGTTCTTCCCAAGACATATTTCAGTTTAGACTAATTTATCCTGATCTCTTTCTGTTCTTTTCCTCAGGAACGTAAACAGCAGAACTTACTGTTAAGGCTCAACATTCGTACATGTAAACTAAATAAAAAGTCCATAGTTGTATGCAAGGGCAATCCTCAAGTACCTAGGAACAGAGCAGTGCAAAGTTGCTCACCCAAGAATCCAGCTCCAAAACAACACGTAAATATTGAAAGTGTGCACAGAAGCAATGGTATGTGATCGCTCTGTAACAGCCCTTCCTTTAATCTCCGTACATGTGGATTAAAATATTTTGCTTCTTAAAGTTCTTTGCTTCACTCTGCCATTTTCTTTTCACTATTTTAAAGTAAATTCAGCCCTCATGAAAGGTGCCAGATTGAAGATTGATCACAGACCAACAGCTCTTCATCTGCATTTCTTCTACAAACAGATCCAAGGAAAGCAGGATTGGGCCTATTCCAAGGCCACTTCAAAATGCCTAAATGATTTTGAGAAAAGGAATAAGAAGATTATCCAGTATCCATGCACATTCCTTGGTGCCAGCTAGTACTAACCGCAATATGGACACTTATCCCCTAGAAACTGAACTAAGGTTATAGAACAAGGTCATATCACAGAAACCACATAAGAATCATAAATGGTTACACACATTTATGGTCCATTAAATAAATGTCAGATGGCAAAAAATACTAAAAATATTTGCCTTTACCATTTACAACCTATATACACCTCTACCCCGATATAACGTGACCCAATATAACAAAAATTCGGATATAACCCAGTAAAGCAGCGCTCCTGGGGGGGTGAGGTGTGCGCTCCGGCGGATCAAAGCAAGTTCGATATAACACGGTTTCACCTATAACGCAGTAAGATTTTTTGGCTCCTAAGGACAGCGTTATATCGGGGTAGAGGTGTACATGTCTTTAACAAGTAACATCTCATATGCAATCTGTTAAAAGTACTTTTTAGACTTGTCTTTTCTATAGTGGTATGTATTACCCATGCAGTAAGCAATACCTTCACCATAGTTTTCACTAAAGATTATACATTCAAAAGCATCTTCTGGTTTACAGTAATAGAAATGGAAGTGAGTACAGTAAATAGTCATGTGAACTATGAATCAGTAGCTAACAGGAATGCTCATGTGATTAAGGACAAGTCACTCACAAGAATGAAGATTTGTAGGCCCAGACTCACAATCTCTACATCTGAGTACCACAGTAACCTGATTCAAAATTATTTGTGCTTATGTTTTATACTATTTTAATTTCTCAAAGACATCTTTACAGGGTCAAAACCTCATGAGATCTGGTCTTTCCATGGTATTTGCTCTGTACAGGAGCTGAAATACCATGAGAAGACCTCACTACTCCTGGATGCATTCAGAAAACAAAATGAAATGAAAAATGAACCATGTAAACGTAAATACCAATACAGGGAAGCCTTTATTAAACCAACAAAAAGCATTTTCGTAAGGGAGAGGTTTGTTTATCACATAATAGTGATTTATTAAATATCAGCCCCTGTTACTGTTAGTAAAGCAATTAAAATAAACAATTTCATTTTTATAGAATGCTTGAAATACAAATGTTTTAAAAAAAATTTAATGTATCAATAGTCACTTGTAGTCAAAACATTGTTCTGTCTGCTAGTTAACATACACAGAGGTGAAATAAGAATATAGAATTTATTATGATAATTGCTATCATGCGTTTCATGTATAAAAACAAAGTAATACACAGAGCCACGTGAAAGGGAGACACTCCTGCACACAAATTATAATCCAGTCATCAGATCTGCATGGGTAGACTCTAGTGCCTACGGGGAGCTCCAGCAAGCTTAACAGGCTTCCACATGGGCACTGAAGTCCAGAGTGATTCAGACAGCCTCCAAGGCAAAGGTGAAGCTGTATCCTGGGCCTATTCTGGACAATTTTGGCTTTGTTCAAAAGGTGAAACAAATTTTAGACCCTGCATATGACACCTCCAATGCAAACCGCATGAAAAATTCAAAAAGACAAATGCTGGACTGTCCCAAATACAAGTATAGTAGACAGCACGTTTTAGTCTGATTTAGTTTCATTTAATTAGAGAAGCAACAGAGAGTCCGCATGCTTCTGACGAAGTGGGTATTCACCCACGAAAACTTATGCTCCAATACATCTGTTAGTTTTAAAGGTGCCACAGGACTCTCTGTTGCTTTTTACAGATCCAGACTAACACGGCTACCCCTCTGATACTTAATTAGAGAAGTTATTTCATGCTAAAATGATCATTAATGATAAAAGTAGTCTACAAATGTTGTTGTCTGTAAAATTTATACAACAATTTGACCTGGTATAATATGTTCCAACAAGTATCTTGCACTGACAATTAAGTAGAAACCCATGAGCATTTTGCATGCATTTCACAATCAATGAAATGACCTTTGATTAGTTAATTTCAAGCATTGATCAGTGATGCAGACAACACTGGTGAGTTCTTTGCTTGCTCTCTCTCTAACAGTTAACTGATAACTATTTTCCAAGGAACATGGGTAGCAAGACATGTTATTCACTCAACCAGTCATTCATTCATCCAGTGCTATTACCAGTACCTGAGTATGTATCTGAACCAAAACATATATTTGGCCACCTCATGCATCAGTTTTTTATTCACCAAAATGTAACATTGAAGAAAATAAATCTATGTGATTTTGATTCCAATAGGTGTGAGCCTGATTAAAAATACTGGGGTTTTGAAAATTAATGTGGCATTAATCAAAGATGGTATCATTACTGACATTATATTTCTTTAATAATCATGATTTCCCTGGTGGTCTAGTGGTTAAGATTTGGCCCTTTCACTGCCACGTCCCGAGTTCAATTCCCGGTCAGGGAATGACACTCTTCAACAAAACTCTGGTCCCGCCATGCGGGCAGGAGACTGGACTCGATGACCTCTCAAGGTCCCTTCTAGTCCTAGAATCTATGATACAGGAGGAGTGGGTGTTAAAATAAACTACGGGTACACTGCAACAAAGATACAGCAGATAAGAAGTTGCCAGCTATTGGTTGTGGAAATCCAAAAACACTGTGTGCCCATGTAAAATGCTTAGAAACTTTTTTATGGAAATGGTCTGCATTAGAAGCTTTGTTTAAACTATTCAATCATCTTTAAAATCTCTGATGCTCTCTTACATTTATAAATAACCTCTTCCATATATAGGTTGTTTACATATATTAAGATAGATATTCCAAGTTAAATCTCAATTTATTAAAAACACATTGAGAAATAACATATATTGCTTCACACAGCAAGAAAGGAGAATGAATGAATTAATGACTTCATTAATTAACTTGTCCCACTGATAATGAACAAATCTGGATCAGATTAAGGTTTTGGCCCAAGTCACCAATTATTCATATAAGACCACTGCAGTTTTCTTAAAAGTAGCTTATGCCAGACTTTTGTGGAAATAAAAATTCACAAGAGCCTCATAAGATGCATACTCAACACACGATTCTGTGGCTTCAAGTGATTTTACACATCTTTCTAACTGGTCCATATACAAAAAAACCTGCACTGCCACACACTGTGCAAATCTAAAAAAACTCTCTGGAGGACAGTGTCTTTAAATCAACTGTAAGATTACACTCTAACATGTATAGATAGCTATCTCACCTTCTCAACAGTGAAAGCTAGAATATAGATATACTTCATTGAAAAAGCATTCCAAGAAAACTTTGTTATAAGTTACTTAGCAATAACTTCATAATTGGTTCTAAACATTGCATGTAGGTGAAGACAACAATCAGAAAATTGCTCATATAAATTACGACAAAGATTGAAAATGTATGCATACCTATTGATAAAGTAAGTTGTAGATATAGTACCATAAGTACTATAAAATGTATGTGTGTAAATATATATTTTAATTACCAATTACAGAATATGAAAAATGAGATGGAAGGGGGCAAATAACCGATCACAATCTCTGATCCAGAGACTTGGCTTTTACTCACTATGTAAACCACAATTCATGCTTACGGCACTATCAACGAATGTTAAATAATGGTACCATTATGAAAAATTATGCATACAAGGGTTGCAAACACACACACACACACACACACACACACACACACACACACACAAATGCAATGTTTACCACACAGTATTATCTGAGATAACACAGATTCAATTATCTCAGATACCTCTGTGCAGTAAATGTTTTCATTTTTAACCACTGTATACATTTTTTTTCATATTCTCAGTAGTAGTAGTAGTTATAGTCATAAGTGTCACTCCCTCCTTCCTCTGCACCCCTCCCCAGTTTTCAGGGAAGTGTTTATTTGACTAAAACTCAAAATTTTCTGTGGAAGAAGGCTCCATTTTCTGATAAGTTTTATCTATAAGGCATACAGTAAACTGCATCCTGAAAACAGACAGCTGGTGAGTTATGATTACTGCTTCTGAATGGCTAAGAATTGGGCAAATTCTATTATTTTGTTATCCTGTCTCCCCCTAAATCCTTAGTCTGAGTTGGGTGCTTATATCAGCCATCTGGTTCACCTTGTCTTTTAAACAATATGTTAACTGTTTATGCAGGGACAGTGATTTTCTACATGTTTGTACAGCACCTAGCACAATACGGTCCCAGCCTGGTTGGTTTCTAGGCACTACCACAACACAAGTGTTAAAAAAAAAAACACCACCAAGAAATTAATGTTGTTTTATCGATTTTAAATGTAAGTATACATATTTTAAAAACTGTACTACAATGTACAATTAACTTCAACCCTCAAGTCTATACAGTTTTAGCAATAAGATGAATTAACTAGAATAGATGATGTGTGACAATGTGTGGAAAAAGAGTCTCTGGCTGATCAAAGGGTAACTCTTATTCAAGTTAGGTTTCCAACACGAAATCAACTGCTGAGAGATTGAAGAGCGCAATATTGTATCACATTTTCTCTTTCCAGAAGAAAGGAATGTCAGTAGAAAATGTGTAACGGATTTTCAAAAAACCTGATTGTTCAGCTATATCTTCAACATATATTATGTACTGTATGAAACTGAAAAATCACAGTGATTTAGCTAATAATGCTTTCCAAGTTATTGTTTCTTTTATCTGTCTAACTATAAAGGAAGAGGCAGCCACTGATACAGGGCACTCTCTTTTTTCCTCCTCAAATCAATATATGGCAATGTTTCTACTTTGTCATAATAGGCCAATTCTTTTCCATCACTAAGGCATTATGTGAAGTCAAAGGAGTACATTTTTAACTGGGCCAAAACTCCACTCAGTGTAATGAGTGCGGAGGGAGGAGTGGGATAAGGGAGTCACCTCAGGCAGGCAGTAGTGGCTCAACAACCCTGCACCATCTATTCCTTGCACAAGTTAGAGCAATTGAGGACCTGCTCAATTGTACCACCAGTGGTACAAGAAACCTGAAGTTATGTGTCGTTCTGCTCTGCCTCACCTATGATACCCTACTCCTCTCCATGCCAGAAGTGGTGAAGCTGGTCTTGCCACTTCTGTCAGCTTTATACCAAATTTCCTCTCTACAAAGAAAATTCTTTGATGGCCATGTCCCACCAGAATACAGCCACTTTGTACCACGTAAGCAGCAGAAAGCAGACATAATAGACAAAAAAAAAAATTTGGTGGTTTCTGTTGTCTAGCAAAAGTAGGCATTCATATGTTTAATGGCAGTTGCATGCATTTATATTTATTTTACTCAAAAGAATCAGCTACTGTACATGACCTTTCTCCTATATTCTGTTGATTATTCTGGAATGACATTCAAGAATATCCTATGCAGCTACTAATATTCTCGTGTTTTTTATTATAAATATGCAACTTACCTGAAATCAATATCCCTCAAAAAGTGTGCCTTCAGCTACATCCATGTGGATTTGGAGGTGGTAGGGTCATGTGTAGAAGAAGAGAAAGAAATGGTGAAAAGCTCAAGCAGTATTTGTACTACAAAACATTAATATTAGAGATACACTTATGTTATTAAAGTGAAAGAAGGAAGACAACTAGAAAGTGATGCTTTTACTCTTCCAGGGCTAACCATTACTAAGGTTCAAGAACAAAGTGCAATACAAGTGTCTCGGCATGTGCCTAGAGAGCAACTAGTAAATTGTCATTGAATTGGGGTTAATTGACAATAAATGTCTAAATATCTGAGACACACTGAAAATATCAGCTCTCCTGGAAAAAAGAGAGCTTAAAATATTCTCTTACATTATATTGTAATATTATCTGCCTGGGAGAAACAAAGCGGAAACAGCCAGCTTCCTCATGGCAGTTTCTTCTTAATGCTTGTCAACTTCAGCCAAGTGCACTTGGATTGAGAAGTGCAGGGATGACTCAGATGCTGTTTTTAACTTTCTCACTAGGGTCACTCATTCTCCTCTTCTCCGCTATGTAGGGCACCCAAGTTGGTGCAGCAAATACCCGCTACACACACTAACTGGGATTATGAAACTTGAAAAGGAGCTGGAATTCTCAGGAACAAGAAAAGAAGAAAAAAATAGAAGCTTCAAAATCTATTTGAGTTACTGGATAAAATCTTATCATATAAGGTGAGGTAAACTGTCAATAGGCTGACAGTATAAGAGAGAAAATGGGACATCAAAAAAATATAAAGTATGTGCCAGGTGATAACACTAAAACAAGTGCACAACGGTTGCTGGCAACTTTAGCTTCCTTGGTGCTCATTGACCACTGCCATAGAGAAGAGTCACATGTGCTTCCCAGACAGCACATCTTGCTAGGCTGGCCTGCAGGGAGTGGAATGCACTCAACTCCTATGGGTATTGAGTGTCTCACTTCACTAAATGACTCTACCAGCTGATTAATGAATAGCACTGATGGACTTCCTGTGCCAGAAAGTTAGTGGAAATATTAAGAGAACTTGCAGGTGGAGGTTACAGCTAATAAACATTAGGGGTTCTGACAGCACTGTAGATGACAGCTCTGGAGAAAAGATAAGAAAAAATAAGGAGAGGCGGTCAGTGTGAAAAAAAAATCACAGATCAGACCAACATTATTTTACTTCATTCATGTGAATTTAAACATACAATGATCCTTATAATGTCTACATTATAAGGGATGATTTTGTGAGTAAATGAAATATAAGTGCAACTTTACCAACATTAAATCTAGGTTGGTTATACACTAGCAATTCATGAGGCTGCCAGTTAGAAAGATAGCTTTGGGGAAAAATTAAGAATTCAAGTCAGGGGACACAAGTAATAGAAAATGGCTCTGTCTCTTGGGGATAGGGAGCCATCTGGCCCATTTATAAGAATATTCTCTCCAATGGGTCAAAGAACAATGGAGATACTGGTTGCAGAATCAGCAACTTATTTCCTTTTCATTACCAAAAGAATAGTACTGGAAGTGGCATCCTGAAAGTAGAATGGAAATCAGAGGAAATGAGGACAAAAAGGGATTGTTTACAGAATGTAAACATTTGTCTTTCTAGGAAAACAAACAGATAGCAAAATACCTAAACAAAAGAGCAATTTTGCTGCGAAGACTAAGTTGTAAAAGATATAAATTGGCTTTAAAGTTTAAAATAGCTTGAAGGCAAACAATTTTTTGGTCAATTGACAATAAATGCAAGCCTTCAAATTGCTAAAAAAAATTAACCTAACAGATGTTCTCACTTATTAAAACACGTCTACAAAAAACACAATTCTCAAATCACATTACTGATTTTATATAACCCATAAAACTAGATTTTTAAGAATGTATTTTTATTACATTTTAACACACATCTCATTGCAAGTTAACCCCCGGCAATGAGAAAAATCAGTATCCCCTCCCCCACAAAATTAACGTAATGCTCTGCTGACCAAGATGCTGGCAGCCAAAACTTAAT